GTCTTTCTGCCTCTGTGGGCCCTAGAGATGCACCACAATGCTGCTGTGGATTTAGCAGCTGCAGCCAGAAGGAAACCATGTAACTGCAATTTTCCTCATATTTCTTTTTTTTTTTTTTTTCCTGTTTGAACACTCACAGGATCATTTATGAGCTGAGTGGATTTCAAAACCCTTGGGCAATTGAAACCTGGTCAACCGCCAGTATGCAATTTTCAGAAACATTCAGTTATCAATGAGAAAATTAGTTCTCAATTCATCATAGCAGGGGAACTTGTTTWAAGATGCACGCATTTACCCGACATYAACGTTTTACTGCTGCTGGCCCTCCGCCTCGAGGGAAAGTTCAGTTTGAAGTCAACAACCATCTCAGTGAGGACCACACAAGCACAAAGATAGCAGCAGGGAAGAACCCGATCCTAAMCGAGGGGACTGAAAATACATGTTTGCTCAAATCCAAGCGCGAGCGTTAATGTAGACACAAATGTGGAGGCATGAAATGCCTTTCTGACACCCCAGACGTGAACACACACCACTTGCTGACAGGAACACACATAGACGAAGAGCCTAAGGCCTCCACGTAAAAGAGCGCACATGGATACGTACTTCATATGAGAGAGCCACAGCCTACCTGCACACACACACACACACACACACACAGAAAGACACCTTGAGGAGAAAATAAACACCCATTCCTCCCACTCATTCTTTTTCTCTCTTCGCACACACCTTCATTCACACACGCTTTCTCTCCATAGGCAKTTATTTCCCAGAGTTACTGCCAGCACTCCCTCTTGCTCAGTGACAAGCTACAAATCCCTGACACCACCACTGATGATAGCTTTACAGTAGAGCCTCAAGGGGAGTCTGCCATCCAGCACACACAAACAACACACACGCGGCTTTCTGTCTTCGTCTTTCCTCTCTCTCTCGCTCTCTCTCTCTCGCTCGCTCTGTCTATTTCACTTTCACCTTCTCCCCAGAGCCCCAAGAGCCTCTGGGAGAGGCGGCTCCCAACAAAAATAGCCTACGGTTTATTTAAGTTAAACATCTGACTACAAGGTATAGTCAAAGTGACAATGAAACAAATGAAGCACCAATTTTGCTTGTCCGTTCATGTACATTTCCATGTTTGAGATGTGCGGAAAACAAAACCAAATGGATAACTGTGTAATTATCCCCCTTGTTTTAAAATTAAACACTGTCTTTTCAACTTCAAACCCATCAAACCACATCACCATGGTACTACTTACAGAATCAAACTTGTACTGTCATCACATACAATTATCTCTGTAGACTCAAAACCAGATTGACTCATGGAGACAATGTCCTGAAGTCATGCTCAACCTTTCTTTGGTGTCTGTTTGATGGTGCTTTAAAGACTTTCTGTGTGTCCTGTGAATATTTGTTAACCCTGGATTAATCTCTGTGTGTGTGTGTG